CTAAATTTATCTGACTCACTTTAAAAAAAAAAAAAAAAAAGTTGAAGCCACTCAGCTTGAAATCTACCTTGTGTATTCAACAAACTATAACTGCAATGAAAAATTTGATTTCTTTTATGTTTCTTCCTACTATGTACAATATTATCAAGAAAGATATTATCAATAGAAGTTTGAAATTGTACATATTTTGCTTTCAAATCAGCTATAACAGCATTTGCATTACATTCAGGAGATTACAATATTAGAGGATAATATTTAAGAAAATAAAATAGAAAAACTTTTCATGTAATGTTAATGAAGAAAGATAAATCTGGTGTTCTATGCACAGAGGTCATGAGAGTTTTTTGCCCTTGCCTGAGAAGACTAGATGTCTGATACACTACCCTAGAATCAGAGGGTAGTATACCTTTTCTCATATGTAAATGTTGCAGATAGTCAGGTCCATGAGATGAATTGGTCTGGTCAAAACCAAAAGTGACAAACCCATACTTGTGTGTGCACAAACCCATACTTGTGTGTGCACAAACCCATACTTGTGTGTGCACAAACCCATACTTGTGTGTGCATAAACCCATACTTGTGTGTGCACAAACCCATACTTGTGTGTGCACAAACCCATACTTGTGTGTGCATAAACCCATACTTGTGTGTGCACAAACCCATACTTGGGTGTGCATAGACCCATACTTGTGTGTGCACAGACCCATACTTGTGTGTGCACAAACCCATACTTGTGTGTGCATAAACCCATACTTGTGTGTGCACAAACCCATACTTGTGTGTGCACAAACCCATACTTGTGTGTGCACAAACCCATACTTGTGTGTGCACAAACCCATACTTGTGTGTGCACAAACCCATACTTGTGTGTGCATAGACCCATACTTGTGTGTGCACAAACCCATACTTGTGTGTGCATAGACCCATACTTGTGTGTGCACAAACCCATTCTTGTGTGTGCACAAACCCATACTTGTGTGTGCATAGACCCATACTTGTGTGTGCACAAACCCATACTTGTGTGTGCACAGACCCATACTTGTGTGTGCACAAACCCATACTTGGGTGTGCATAGACCCATACTTGTATGTGCACAAACCCATACTTGTGTGTGCACAAACCCATACTTGTGTGTGCATAAACCCATACTTGTGTGTGCACAAACCCATACTTGTGTGTGCATAAACCCATACTTGTGTGTGCACAAACCCATACTTGTGTGTGCACAAACCCATACTTGTGTGTGCATAGACCCATACTTGTGTGTGCATAGACCCATACTTGTGTGTGCACAGACCCATACTTGTGTGTGCACAGACCCATACTTGTGTGTGCATAGACCCATACTTGTGTGTGCACAAACCCATACTTGTGTGTGCACAAACCCATACTTGTGTGTGCACAAACCCATACTTGTGTGTGCACAAACCCATACTTGTGTGTGCACAGACCCATACTTGTGTGTGCACAGACCCATACTTGTGTGTGCACAGACCCATACTTGTGTGTGCATAAACCCATACTTGTGTGTGCACAAAACCCATACTTGTGTGTGCATATAAACCCATACTTGTGTGTGCACAAAACCCATACTTGTGTGCACAAAACCCATACTTGTGTGTGCACAAACCCATACTTGTGTGTGCACAAACCCATACTTGTGTGTGCATAAACCCATACTTGTGTGTGCACAGACCCATACTTGGGTGTGCATAGACCCATACTTGTGTGTGCACAAACCCATACTTGTGTGTGCATAAACCCATACTTGGGTGTGCACAACCCATACTTGTGTGTGCACAAAACCATACTTGTGTGTGCATAAACCCATACTTGTGTGTGCACAAACCCATACTTGTGTGTGCACAAACCCATACTTGTGTGTGCATAAACCCATACTTGTGTGTGCACAAACCCATACTTGTGTGTGCACAAACCCATACTTGTGTGTGCACAAACCCATACTTGGGTGTGCATAGACCCATACTTGTGTGTGCACAGACCCATACTTGTGTGTGCACAGACTTACCAATTAAGACATTTATGCAGTTTATGAAAGTGGTAGAACTTGGACAACAATCTAATGGAATGATCAGATATTCCACAAACAGCACCAGACTTTATGATGATTATTATATTAATGATGATGATATTGATATTAATGATTCTAATTTTAATGATGAGAACAATATTATTGACGACAATAATGTTACCTATGATGATAATGATGATAACATAAGTTTAACTGAGTGGAGCTGAGTCACCGACATAATAGCACTCATCCTCATCTTTAGCAATCAGTCAAGGTTTCAATTTCACTGTCATCAGTGAGTGACCGTATGACCATTTTGCCTTTCCTCTGAGAGTTGAGTGTTGGCCAGATCTCCTGTTTAATCCCCGCTGCACTCTTATTTTCTGTTACCATGATGATCTGTGTGTGCTTCCACTCTCTTCCTCACTTCCAAAGACACTTGCTAACATCTAGCTTGCCATGCACCAGTAAACTACAAAACGGTGCAGAAACAGTCAATCTCTCAGCCTGTTTGTTTACCAACACACCTGGGGTAAGAATTAACACTTTGAGTCCCAGGGAACGCATCATAGGTTCATAGGTCCTTACCTAGAAGCCCAATGAACACATGATGTGTTGATTTTAGTCTCTTTTTACTACCCATTAGGCCAGTGATGCTAAAACCCCTGGGACTCAAAGAGCTAAGAGGATTCCATGATATGCATGAGTGTGAGGAAATGGAAGAGCAGATTTTCTGGCAAAAAAAAATCAGAGCGATACTCGTACTGGACAAAGAAGTCATTCTGAAGACCATTTATGAACAATTCTGATAGAAGACATGAGGTTGAATGTTGAATTATGAATTATGAATCCACATCATAGCACATTTATGAACAATGTCTGATAGAAGACATGAGGTTGAATGTTGAATTATGAATCAACATCACAGCACTCAGGACACTCCCATAAGCGCCCCCCCCCCCCCCCCCCCCTTCCCCCCCCCCACCCCCCCACCCAGGACAATCCCCCCCCCCCCCCCCCCCCCCCCCCCCCCCCCCCTCCCCCCCCCCCCCCCCCCCCCCCCCCCCCATTTTTAACAGCATGGCACCATGGCACCAGTCTCTGTCTGACTGTATATCTACGAAGACATGAGGTTAGATGAAATAACATGTGTAATAATGTGTGAACAAGGAATTAGGTGTGGATCAGGCAAAGAGGAACTTATGAGACAAAGAGAACAATGAGTGTATAATCAGTGTGCTATGAGAACAGTTAGCATCTACATCTTGAGACATTTGCTGCAGGAGAAAGAGCACACCTACAGGTAAACTTGGCATGCTATGATGTTGATTTTTACATAAGTAAATCAGTAACTACCTAGGACTCTTGCTGCCACTGTGCAGGCAGCAGACCTGTCTCCACCTTTCTCAGCATGCTTTGTATTAACAGATTTTAAAGATGATGAAAATAATTAAACAAAAAAGATAAATTAAAAAAAAAGACTTACTTGATGAAGTGTTAATTGCCAAAAAGGATGCACTAAAACCCTCCCTGGCCACGCTGGCATCTGACTGCATGTAAAGCACAAGCACATTGTCACTAGAGGTCACTATGTCCGGGAACCAGGGACCCACAGTATCTGTCATCAACCACATTTGAGTTCATCAAGTACATTAATACAAGTCATTCCATTAACGTGCTTTAACGTTTCCAGTCCCCAGGTACACATCACACATTCATAGGTTTCTACCCAGAAGATCAATGAATGCAAGTTGCCCCAATTTTCCAATTTTACGTCTTTCTTTACCACCCATTTGACCACCGATGCTTAGCCCCCTGGGACTGATTTGATTTGATTTGATTCAAAAACCAACATCACAGCACTTGGGGATTCCCATAAGCGCTCCGTCTCCATCTTCAGCAGCCTTCTTTCCATACTAATGGTGCCAGTAGCATTCTGATTAAATGTAAGTCTTGCCTTTCCTCTGAGCCTTGAGCATCTGCCAGAACCTCTTCTCACTCCCCCCCCCCCCCCCCCCCCCCCCCACTGCATCAATCTCACCAGACTGTGGTGATCCATCTGCTCCTCCGTACTGTACACGCTCTCCCACACGTCACTAACCATGTCTGCCTTATCCTGCATCAGTATTCTGCCAAGTTGTGCAGAGCCAGCCAGTCCGTCTGTTCATTTACCAACACACCGGCATGCCCCGGTGAAAAAATCCAGACAATACTCCTCGCCTGTGTCCTCATCAGCGAGGCATGCCACTCTGCACGATGCATGCCTGCCCTGATCTTCCTCAGCATGCTTTCTGAGTTAGTTACAATCACAATGTGTATGTATGTCATGTTCTCTGGCCAGTGGAAAACTGCAGTGACTGCCTTCACCTCCAATCTTAAGCTGGATGTTGTATATCATATGCTAGGCTCTCCTGCACCAAATGCTGACCATTAACTTTTGCTAAGAAACCCAAAGCATTTCTTTTGCCTCTTGACACTGAACCATGTGTGTAAATGATCAAATCCTCTGGGAATAAAATAGTTAATAATAAAACTCCAAACACAAGTGTTGATTCAGATTCCAACAAAATATATGGCAATGAACACATAAATAACAGTCAAAAATGAAAACACCACTGAAAACTTGTCAGAAGATTATAAAGAATTAGGATTGCACATAAATGTACATTACTGAGGATTCCTTATAAATGAGAGTAGAATGGCTTATGCATACAACATCCACCTCTAAATCAAACAGATATGATATGACCCTGAAAATTGTAAATTGTATAAATGTCAGCAAAATCAGTAAATTATAACATACTCCTATGATGTGATCTGACTTTGTTAACTAATGCCCACTCACTGGCCTATAAAATATAGGATCAGCACTATATTCAAGATGCTCCTCAAGACAAGATAAGCCTACTCTACTTTCCTGCATCACTACAGTGAACGAGCATGCACTGAAACATGGAGACATATCTACCTTCCCAGTCGACTTTCTTCAGCCATGGTTGAGTTGTCATAAATGTCAACATAATCATACACACATGTGTTCTCTGTGGGATTCTCAAAGCTGAACATGTGGAATGTCAGACGAATGACCAGTCCCGGGGTGACATTAATATACCACGTACAGTTGACCCCATGGGGATATTCGTTGGGGTGACCTGGGCTTGTGATGACGCCACTGTCACTGTTGAGAACACCTCCACACAGTCCAGAGCCTGGGAGAAAACAGAAAACTTACAATCAGGATTTGAGAAAATAAAACATGAAATTTAGAAGCAGATTTTGAGGACACAAAACACAAAATTTTCAATCAGAATTTATAGACAAAAAACATGAAATTTAGGAACAGAATCTGAGGAAATAAAACATAAAATTTAGAACCTGAATTTGAGGACAGAAAACAAAACAACAGGTGAAATGGTTTGGACATATAGCACAGATATCAGCAGACTGCATACCACAGCAAGCAATGATGTACATACAAATCAGGTTGGAAGCGAAGAAGAGGACAACCATGCAAGGGACTGACAGAAACGGAATCACAGTGTTCCTGGAAATCCCAGTTTATGAAGCACACAAATGGACTCTTTCCCATAAATGATACTTTGCCTCAACATCACAAGGTACACCAAAATCAAGATGAGATGTGATGATAATAATCTGGTAATCCTAGTTTCAGCTTCATAGCAAAAGGGTGACCCCATAGTTGCTCCGCTCCTATGCCAAACGAAAAATACAAGTAGCTCACAGTGTCATGCCATGCACTCAACTCAGAAGCTGGGCGACAAAACTATATCCTTCCAGTCTACAAATAGAGCAAAAATGCAACGGCCACCGTCTGGCAGGGAAAAAAAAGGTGGCGGTGCCTAGCGTCCATTTTGACCTGAAGCATTATATGAAGGTTAATAAACGGTCACCCCAGCAGTACCCTCATTATTAGTTGGGGAAGGGACTTAGGATATTACATCCACCAGCATGGAATCGCCCCTACAACCACCTGCCTGCCTTCGTTAACGACTGTTCACCCAACAGCCATGCAGTTCTTTGGCACGAAGGAAACACCTTGAACTTGGGTGATGATGTGATGTGATGATAAGATGTGATGATGAGGTGTGATGATGAGATGTGATGATGAGTTATGATGAGGTGTGATAATGAGATGTGATGATGAGATGTGATAATGATATGTGATGAGATGTGATGATATGATAAGATGTGATGTTGAAGTGTGATGATAAGTTATGATGAGGTGTGATGATGAGATGTGGATGATGAGATGTGCTGATGAGAAGTGATGCTGAGGTTTGATGATGAGGTGTGATGATGAGATGTAATGATGAGATGTGATAATGAGGTGTGCTGATGAAGTGTGCTGATGAAATGTGATAATGATATGTGATGATAAGATGTGATGATGAGATGTGATGAGGTGTGATGATGAGATGTGATGAGGTGTGATGATGAGGTGTGATAATGAGATGTGATGATGTGATGATGAGATGTGATGATGAGATGTGAGAATTACTTATGATGAGGTGTGATGATGAGATGTGATGATGAGGTGTGATGATGTGTGATGATGAGGTGTGATGATGAGATTGATGATGAGATGTGATGATGAGATGTGATGATGAGGTGTGATGATGAGTGGTGATGAAGTGTGATGATGAGATGTGATGATGATGATGATGATGGTGATGATGATGATGATGATGATGATGTGTGATGTGATGATGATGATGGTTTGATGATGAGGTGTGATGATGAGATGTGATGATGAGGTGTGATGATGATGTGTGTGATGATGATGTGATGATGAGATGTGATGATGAGGTGTGATGATGCCATGATGAGGTGATGATGAGATGATGATGAGATGTGAAGATGATGGTGTGATGATGATGATGATGATGATGATGATGAGAAGTGATGATGATGTGATGATGATGATGATGTGATGATGATGAGTGATGTGATGATGAGAGGATGATGATGATGATGAGGGTGATGATGAGATGTGATGATGAGATGTGATGATGATGAGATGTGATGATGAGATGATGATGATGTGATGTGATGATGATGATGTGTGATGATGAGATGTGATGATGAGGTGTGATGATGAGTTATGATGATGATGATGAGATGTGATGATGAGAAGTGATGATGATGTGTGGTGATGATGATATGTGATGATGAGATGTGATGATGAGATGGATGATGAGCTATGATTAGGTGTGATGATGAGATGTGATGATGAGATGTGATGATGAGATGTGATGATGATGTGTGATGATGAGATGTGATGATGATGTGATGATGAGATGTGATGATGAGATGACTCCAGAGAGAAGTGCTTACTGCTTTCATTCTCAACTCCTTGGGGTACTTGGAGTTACAATAACAAATATTTTGCACTGCAAGAGTTAAGAAAAGTCTACAAAAAGTGTAAGTACCTTTTTTGTGTTTTTTTTTACAAAGTTTGTGGTGAGTACTGGCATTTTTTCTTTCTCAGATAAAAAAAGCCCTCATAATAAATGCATTTACTTTTCAAAGGGCAGTTGACACAATGAGTTGTGTTTTAAGCTACCCTGCAATATCTGCACTCCTACATCCACTTCAACAAACTTTTAATCACTCACTTTCTATGACATGCTTGTCACTCTTTCAGTCCCAAGGAAGACATCATACACTCACAGGTTCCTACCTAGAAGCCCACAGAATGCAAGATGTGCCAACTGTTACATCTTTGTTTACTACCCCTCAGGTCTCCCCTTTGGCTGAAAGAATTGAGGGCAAGTGTGTCTATTTTTAACCCCCAAAATATGCCTTGAAACCCAAACGGGGAATTCCTATTCAGAAGACCTTCAACACACAATTACCTGAAATAGCCGTGTATGTTGCCTGGAAGCCATGATTGTTTACTGATCCATCAGTAACAAATCGGACAAACAATGAACTTCCTGTTGACATCACGTCTGCTGGAGAGGTGTCCCCACAAAGTCTAGATCCAACTATCGGTGCTTCTTGATTGGATCCATCATAGATCTAAAGAAATAACAACAAGGAAAATAAGTCACTTTAAAAAAGTAAAGGAATCTGTTACAAGATTATATGATGAGAGAAGCAATGCATAAGATAAAAATTTAGCAAGAACTTTGAATATACAATAAACACAGTTAACATTTCTAGATAGATATTGAACTCTTCTTATCTGATGTAATACACAGTCCATGTGTTCTTCATGGGAAGTAACCAATTGATAACATCTAGCTCTACTTTTTATATTTTTATACTCAATCATGGCAAAACGAAGAAATATAGCAATGTATCTATTTAATACTTTCTAGACTGACTGTATGTACCACTCTTTACAATATTGTAGGACAGAGAAGGTCTTGAGCTTAAGGATTTAGGGCTGCAAGGCTAATGCAGCTGCCACAAACTGTGCAGGTTAGGACTTACTGAGGATTCGATCTCAAGTATCCACAGGAGAGCCCTTCATTATAACACTTTGGCCAGCAACTCCTCCTCCCCCGCCCCCCTTTTTAAAAAAATTATTTAAGTTGTATATTTTTTCTGCTGTGAAGTTAGTAAACGTGTAATGTTGGTGTTGTGTCTATTAAACCAAACATTCAACAAGCAGCTGATGGAATTGAAAGCATGGAGTGGGTAGTTGTCAGCCACAGATATAAAACTCATCTTATCAAATACATTTTTTCTTCTTATAGTTCATGCTGTATTGCACTCAATGAGAGTAGAATCTTGACAGTCTTGTTGCATGGCATGGAGGTATGTCAGTACAGGTACTGATACATGCTGCAGGAGATCGCAGATTGTGGAGAGACAGGATGGCCCACGCCAGTCGGCAAGACACCTGATGATCTTCTTCTTCTTCTTCTTCGATCCTTCTGTCAGAAAACTTATATCAGGAGGCCGGTAGCCTTTATGAAAGCTATCGTGCAATGGATATCCTCTCGTGTACCATACAGTTTTGTCTTCAGTGTGGTTGGAACAGGCCAGATTGCGTCTCTGTTGTCAGCATACAGTTGACAGTATTGGAGCACATGCTCAGCATTTTCGGGTGCCCCGCTGCTCTGTATTTCCTACACCAAAAAATTTGAACATATGTTGACGAAATCTTTTGTGCCCTGTTGATGATGTATTGCACTGATAGTCATGTCTCTCCCTAACCTCCTGTCTCGCATACTTTCAAACAATTCTGGCATAGATGATCTGCTATACCATGATGTCAACCTGTCCAGGATCTTCTTTCTCAGTCTCTCTCTGCTTCTTTTCCCCTCCAACTTTCCTAACATCACAATGTACTCCAGTTTGTCTCCCATTCATAAAATGACAAAAGAATTTAGACTGAATCCTTCTAATGTGGGTAGTCAGTTCACTTGATGAGTTAATTTCTTTCAAGACATCCTCATTACTCAGTTTATCTGTCACTGGTATTTCTTATCTTCTTCTTCTCAAAGTCTATGTCGTGTGGCATTGGTAGTCATATCTATCCACAACCTTTTGTCTTGTGTACTTTCAATGAACTCTGACACAGATGATCCTCCATGCCATGATGTCAAACTGTCCAGCATCTTTTCTCTCTGTCTCTCTCTGCCTCTCCTCTACTCCAACTTTCCTACTGTCACAAGGTACTCCAGTTTTCCCCTTCTCATCACATGACGAAATAATGTAGATTGTCTCCTTCTGATGTTGGCAGTCAGTTCTCTTCGCAGTTATTATCACCCAACTATAAACATCTCTGCTGTATCACTCAACTATAAAATAACATCTCTGCTGTTATCACTCAACTTTAATACAACATCTCTGATTTTTATCACTCAACTTTAAAACCACATCTCTGCTGTTATCACCCAACTTTAAAACAACATCTCTGCTGTTTTTACTCAACTTTAAAACATCATCTCTGCTGTTATCACTAAAATTTAAAACAACATCTCTGCTGTTATAACTCAATTTTAAAACAACATCTCTGCTGTTATCACTCAACTTTAAAACTACACCTCTGCTGTTATCACTAAACTTTAAAACCACATCTCTGCTGTTATCACTCAACTATAAAACCACATCTTTGCTGTTATCACTCAACTAGAATACCACATCTCTGCTGTTATTACTCAACTATAAAACCACATCTCTGCTGTTATCACTCAACTAGAATACCACATCTATGCTGTTTCCTCACAATTGTTCACTAATCGAGCAACTGTACATGACATACATGTTTGTGATCATTCTCATCCATGACTAAAAAAGAAAAGAAACAAATCTAATGATCCTGTTACATCACCATCATCATTTTGTCATTTCTTGTTACGTCACATATGGCTTGCATTTGATTCCTTTATTTTGTTGTATCCTGTATAATTCTTTTGATATCCTGTATGGAATCTAGGCCAGCACTTTTAGCCTCTCTCAGTTAAATGTCAAAATTAAATGTGAGATCTTGTAACATATGATACTATTTTTTTTTTAACAGTAGTAAATGTTTCCTACCTCAATATAGTCAAAATCACAATTGTTGTCAAGTCCCTCAAGTCCAAAAGCATTAAAATGAAACCTGATGACATGAAAGTCAGGAACCTCGATCCGGTAGTCACACCTCCTATTGTGAGGGTAGAAATCAGGCCAGTTTGGTGACTGGATCTGACCTTGTAGGCCGGAGAATCTACCTCCACAGGCTGGAAGATAAATGAATGTAACTGATGTAAAAAAAAATTACCCACCCCAACAACAACAACAAAACTAAGCGCAAAGAATCTACCAGACAAAGCAATAAACAAACAAACAAAAGTGAACTTAATAAAAGCTTATAATAATGAAATGTAGAAGTGAACTGGACATAGAGATGCCTAACATAGGTTCGACAAAGAAAGATCAGCAAGAGATAATAATAGATACACCTGGTACATGCTGGTTAAAGTCAAGATGAACGACTTTATTAGTCAAAGTTTTATCACATATGGCTCTATCTTTCACTGCAGAATGATTAGCTGCCTGCTAAGAGCATTGCACAAATCACAAACTCCAGCAATGATCCCCAGGCAGAGCCAGATTTAAGTATAAGCTAACTAAGCAGATTAAGGACTCACAATTAGCAGGGACCTAAAAAAAATCATATTTTATTTCCACAACTGTATTTTGCTGTTAATATATTTTAGATAGCATATAAAAATGGTTTAAATTGCAACATAGAACCTTTATGAGCATTATATGATATAATTTCTGTGATTTTGCAAAAACTTTCCTTATTATTTCTTTAAAAAAAATTAAATGACAATATATTTCCATTATCCATTTATTTAAAAGGTATATATATATATATATATATATATATTTATTTAAAAGGTATATATATATATATATTCTAATGTTTTCTGAGATAAGCATGTGTAGCTTTAAATGGTGGAACCTAATGGCTTTAAATAGCTTAGGGCTTCACCAAGTTCAAATCCAGCCCTGTCCACAGGGATCTCCATGACAACTGCACTCATGAATTAAATGACATAGTCCATAAAATGAACCCATGAACATCTAGAGCACCAGGCAAATGGCTTGATGACTACACCACAAAAACCCATGATATCCCTCACCCACACCCCACCTCCCTGCAGAAAGATGAATGAAACATGTCAGCAGCAGAAGTGGGAGGGTTATTACCTGTGATCCACTGAGCTCTGAACCCTTGTCCAGAAATGTTCTCATCTGTGTGAAGTTCAAGGCTGAGGATGTTGCTGGAACTGGTAATCTCGGTTGGGAGGTCAGTGCCACAGAATGTGCTAAGTATGGGAGCCATCTGGTCAGAGCCATCTCGGATCTGTGCAGATTAATTTATACAAGAACTCAGTTTGCATCTTTTGGACTTTTTATAAGGTTAAAGGTTAAAGTTGAGAGGATAGCCTTGATTGCATTGGGTTTAATTGGATATGGCTCGGTCTGTGTAGAACAGCTGGCCGCCTGCCAAAAATGTGGCACAAATCATGAACTCTATAGCTCTGGCAACAGTCCCCAAAAGTCTCCGTAAACATTTCGCTAGTGAACTTAACATATGACCTTCAGAGAATAAAGCAAATGGCTTGACTACCCTGTCACGCAAACTGCCATGATGTAGCAGCTGGATGAGTGGCTCAGGTCATGGGTTCAAAAATGACTTTGGCTCCCAGGCCAACCAAACTTTAAATCTGTACCAGGAAAACTCCAGGGAAGTGTAGGTGGACCACATCATCCATCAAATCCGGATTCACATCATCCATCAAGTCCTGATTCACATCATCAGTCAAGTCCTGATTCACAGCATCTGTCAAGTCCTGATTCACATCATCCGTCAGAGTCCTGATTCACATCATCTGTCAAGTCCTGATTCACATCATCCGTCAAGTCCTGATTCACATCATCAAAAAAGTCCTGATTCACATCATTCATCACGTCCTGATTCATATCATCCGTCAAGTCCTGATTCCCATCATCCGTCCTGATTCACATCATCCGTCAAGTCATGATTGGTCTAATATTTATAGGCACTATATAGCTAATATACTTAAGGTCATGGACAAAAGATCCTTTATGGACATTATATAAAAATCTCAAACTTAGAATGCCAGAGGATTAGCTTCACTGCTTCAGGTTTTATAGCATAGGGCTCAGTCCCTCTCTGCATAACAACTAACCACATGCTGGGAGAATGCTCAAACTCTACAGCCCAATTGACTAAACCCAGGGATCTCCATTACTTCCGCACTCATGAACAGAAGCATGCAGTCCAAGTTCCATGCTTGTTGTATGGATACTTGCTCATGTGGGGATTCATGGTCATGAAATTTTAGACAGGAAGGCACACACAATGAAAAAAAAGGTAGATCCAATCAAAACACTGTTAATACATTTATGAGCACAGGAGACATCATTCACTGTTTAAAAAAATTTATATTAGTGATTCTTGAATTGAGACCAAAACCTAAAGGGTAGACATTCATATAAGTTATTAAATCCTCCTAAAAGACAAAGTCAGATAACAGATGCACTTAAAATTTACATGTAATCGTAAATTGTTTAGACTATAACTTGGATGGTCTTGCTTTACTATGCAGGAAGAGACCTGTAATGTATGGCAGAAATACAATAATATAGAGCACTAGCTGCTTGAGTGTAGGAAATATAAAAACAAAGGGAACCATTACCTGACTAATGGATCTCCGTAAATTACCAATGATGATGGGAAACTTGCTGCACATAAACAGCCACAGAGAGCTGAATGTCAAGGTCAAGCAATTTAATACTATGATAATTATCAATTTCAATCAATCAGTCAATCCTCATCGTGCCCAGAGGCACATAGGGCAGAGATGAACTGTCGCCACTCAATCTGATCCAGAGCCATCATCTCTATTTCCAGTTTTGTCCTTCGTGCAGCCTTGAGTTCAGCCTCATAGGTATACCTCCAAGTGCCTCTGGAACTGCCTTTTCCTCGCTTTCCTTATGGTGTCCATTTCATTGCCTGTCTCTGCCGCCTCTCTTTCTTCATTCTGAGGATGTGTCCAATCCATCTCCATTTTTGTATTTTTTATTTCTAAATTTACATCTTCTAAGTCTGTCAATTGTAATCTAAAATTGCAGTTTATATTTTTTCCATTTGAACCCCAACAATCTTCTGAGAAGTCTTCACTCAAAACCTCTGATCATGCTCTCTCTTTCTGTCTATGATTCCAATTACAACTACCCGTCCTTTTTAGGATGAAATTTTTCATCATTTGAAGCCCCACTCTGGCTCTTGCCAGGGGCTGCAATATAGCCTGGCCTAAATATGGCCTAAAGGCTGAACACGGTTTCTGGGACCTCTCCACGTTGATCCTCACCCACATGGTGACACATTGTGTCATCGGATGTTTATCGCTTGTGTGATGTCCTGGTGGGGTAGAAGGTCAGTCAGTCAGTCTCTCTTTCTGCCTGTTCTCCAAGTTTCTGCTCCATAGAAAACTATCCTAATGTTTTGTATATCCTGGGTTGAATTTTAGTGCTGTAGATGTTTGATCTCAAAACACCCTGAAGTCTGTTGTAAGCAGCGTTTGTCTTTTGCAATTGTCTGCTTGATTTCACACACTACATTTCCTACCAAGGAGATATTGATTCCCCTGTAAGTGAAGACAGTTGCTGTTTCCAAACCTACGTTATCTATTAGTATAGGTCTTTCACTTTTGGAGTTTATCTCCAGCAGTTTTGTTTTGTTGACATTGATTCTCAAGCCTGACTGTTTTGCTATTTCTGTGATCTTAACTGTCTTTTGTGGAAGATGTTCTTTACTTTGGCTGATGACACAGATATCACATGTTCCAAATGTTTGAAAAAGTCCCCCCCCCCCCCCCCCCCCCCCCCGCTTCCATGTGCCTGTGATTGCTTTCTTTGTAACATAATCTATCACAATGAGAAACAAGAAAGGTGACAGATACATCCTTGTTGGACTTCTGATGTTACCCTGTGATTGCTTTCTTTGTAACATAATCTATCACAATGAGAAACAAGAAAGGTGACAGAATACATCCTTGTTGGACTTCTGTTGTTACCCTGAAGTATTCTGTTTCCATGAGTCCTACTTTCTCTTTGCATTGGTATCCTTCATAGAGTCCTTTAAAAATGTTTCTAACTTTATCTGGTAACCCTTGCATGGCATGGTCAAGCAATTTATTACTAGGTTTAAGGGTTTATACAAGGGTATTGAATGCCCATGGCTTCTTTGAAGAAGATTTCCCTAAGATAATATTGAGAAGAATTATCAATGATTGCACATTAAGGAAACAAAAAATCCACCGACATGTTAGTAAAACTAATTATTCTTAGTACAGTTCTATCATTATCACAACCTAAATCAGTGCAAAATGTGAACAAAACCATTTACATTTTGATCATATAAACAATTGCATGATATATAAATATTCATTCATTCATTCAGTAGCATGTCCCTCGCGGAATCTCGCTGCCATAACAACCCTCCGGAAAACCTTCCTATCATGAGCAAGATGTCCTGCGTCTGAAACACCCATCTGGAGATCATCTGCCACATCCTGCACCCATCTTCTCCTTGGCCTTCCTCTTCCTCTCTTCCCAGGCATATACCCCTCCATTATTGTTCTCTCTAGACTTCCATGACGTTTCAAGTGACCAAAATATTTCAATTTTCTTTGTTTTATTGTCTTTACTAGCCAACCCTCTTCAATATTCAGCTCTTGAAGTATGGATGCATTTGTTCTTTTCTTTACCCAAGATATTCTTAGAACCTGTCTGTAACATTTATATTCAAATGCATTTATGCGCTGTTCCGCTTGTTTCGTAAGTGTCCAGGTCTCACAGGCATATGTTGCAATGGGAAAGATGCATGCTCTTAAAAATCTGACCTTTGTAATTCTATCTGTACAATTCCATAATTTATTCAGTTGTTTTAGCCTTTGAAGAGCAATTGATAGTCGTCGTTTAATTTCTTTCATTGTGTCACCATTGTTGGTAACCAGTGACCCAAGATATTCGAAATTTTCCACCACTTCCAATCTTTCCTCATTAACATATATTTCCTTCTCCATGGCAGTTTTGTTTGTATGCATTATCTTTGTTTTTGCTATGTTAAGAAATAAGTTATGATTTTCACTATTTCTTTGGAGTGAGGTTAATAAGTTTTCTAAACCACTTTGTGATGTTGATAGTAATACTATATAAAATATATATAAATATGCAGTAACAAATATGTATACTCTGAGAATTTGATTAACACTATATCGCAATTATAACCCTGAGGGTTAAACATTTTTTTTTTTTTTTAAATTACTACTACTAAAACCTTCAGAGTGTGAAGCTAAAAGCTTAACCCCTTAACCACACACATAATTTTTCTTTTGATATTTTCTCCAGGGGTATGAAGGAGGGTTGGGAAATGAACATACAGACAAATTGGCTGTTTCTGCTATTGGGTGGTGAATATACTTAACTCAGTAGGTGGGCAAGAGATCTATATCCTTTCAGTCTACATGCGGATGAAATTGCAAAAGCAAACTATTATCAGAAGCAAAAACTTGCCATGACTAAAAACAATGAACCTTCCTATCCACCATATTGACAGGAACAAATGTTTAACCCATGCAGAGTAATCAATATATAGGGTTGGCTGCCTGGTACTATCAGAGTTAATGTGGAAAGTAAACACTTAGGTCTTCCTTGTCTATTTGCCCTCATCTGAGAAGACTTTATATCCAATCAACTACCCTTGAATCAAGAGAATGTATACCATTCTCTGCAGTACTGTAACAGTAAATCAATACTAACAGTCAGATAATCTTGGCTGCAGGAGCTTGATGTCTGAAGGTCAAATTCCAAAAACGAGAGTTGGACAGAGCTGCCAGGTGCCACCGTGATGATCCACACACACTGGATATTATGTCGGTATGGGTTTGGAAACCCAGGGGATTTGACCTCACCGTCAGGCCCAGACAGCACACCCCCACAACCTTGTCTGCCTTCTAGGGAAACATAAACATCATTATCAGTGAGAATCATTGAAAACAAATGTGCTGTCTCTGCAGTGAGGGTTGCTTGTAAGGCATCCTATGAGAATATTACCTGGTGACACACTAATCTCTTCCACAGTACAACTCTCGTATCACTATCTTAAAGCCACTAGAATGGCCTTTATCTAAACTATCAGCCAAGGAAATCCATTGTGAAATGATTTTATCATCCTGTAACGTACAGAGCCACACAAGAATCATAAGGACACGAATCAGTTCAGGAAATTATAACATAGTTGCATCATCATCATTCTCCTCATCATCAATCATCACCAATCTTCATCATCGTCATCCTCCTCCTAATCCTCATCATCATCAATCATCATCAATCATCATCATCCTCCTCCTCCTCATCATCAATCATCCTCCTCCTCCTCATCATCATCAACTATCATCATCCTCCTCCTCATCATAATCAAATCATCATCATCCTCATCATCATCATCATCATCCTCCTCATAATCATCAATCATCATCATCATCCTCCTCATCATTATCATCAATCATCATCATCCTCCTCATAATCATCAATCATCATCCTCCTCATAATCATTAATCATCATCCTCCGCATCATTATCAACCATCATCATCCTCCTCCTCATCATCATCAATCATCATCATCATCATCCTCATCGATTATCATCATCAACCATCATCATCCTCCACCTCCTCATCAATCATCTTCATCAACCATCATCATTCTCCTCCTCCTCATCATCATCATCAACCATCATCATCCTCCTCCTCCTCCTCATCATTATCAATCATCATCAACCTTCATCTTCCTCCTCCTCCTCATCACCAACCATCATCATCCTCCTCCTCATCATTATTATCATCATCATCATCTAGCAGGTTTTATGTAGTAGGTCGCTCTCATCACAGAACGCCTGAAAGTCCTTCTCTAGCCAAATCTTCAGCCCTATGTACTTTCATAGATAATGTAACTTCAATCTCTTGTATCCACCTTCACGGAGGTCAACCTCTGCCTCGTGTTCTGGAAACTGCACCCTCGACCACCGTTCTCTCCAGGCCACCATGATGTTTAACATGGCCAAAATACCTGGACTTTTAGGACAGGATGCTGTTTATGAGCCAGTTTTTCTCAACGTTGAGATCATGCAGGATGTCAATGTTTTTCTTGTTCTTGGTCCACAGTATTTGAAGAATATTTCTGTAGCTAACATACATACATAAACTCCTCCTTCTTCTTCTTCTTCTTCTTCTTCTACTTCTTCTGTTTTGCATTCACTGGCTGTAAACTCCACCAGAAAGTTCTGGTTGTTTATGGACTCTGGACTTGTCCCTGAACTTAATGTTCCCATGCACAAATGTTTTACAGATCTGGCTTATTTCTATGAAGACTGTTTGTTCTTTTGCATCTCAAGCAGATACACTCTGACTTTGATGGAAACACTTTTAATTCACCACCTCCTATGCTTTGAGGGGGGGGGGGGGGGGGAGATGGGAGTGGGGTGGAGGGAGGAGGGTGGTGGGGAGGGGGGGGGGGGGGGGGGGGGGGGGGAGATACAGAATAATCTATTTATGTTTTCCAGCACAGTGAGACCCTAGAACACACATGGGGATAATAAATAACAAGGTTAGGGGAAATACAATAAATGACCATCATTATCAAGGACACTTTGACTGCTCCATATCTTAAGATAAAATACAAGGTAACATTTTCAGAGCAGCCAGCAAAAAAACCACCAGGTACACCCACCTTCGAGAGCTGTGTACGTTATATGGAAGCCCCTGTCGCTCATACTGTGATCACTGTGGAATTGGACGTAAGCATACGGGCCAGTTGTCTGGACAGGGGCAGGTCTCTCACTGCTGCAGAAACGTTGTATTAATTGGGCATCGCTAGACTCCCCATCTCGGATCTGTAACAAGGGAACAGCAGATAGTGCGATGCAGAAATGAATGAAATTATAAAGTAATGAATGGACACAAAATGATAATGACAATGATGATGATGATGATGATGATAATGGTGATGTTGATGATGATAATTATCAGGATGGGGATGATGATGATAATGATGATTATGAAGTTTACAATGATGATGATAATCAGAATAATTATGATGAAGATAATGATGATAATTGTGAAGATGATGATGACAATGATGATGATGCTATTGGTGATGTTGATGATAATGGTGGTGATGATGATAATCATGATGATAATCATGATGATGATGATGATGATTATGATGATAATGGTGATAATAATGATAAAGATGATGACTGTAATGTATCTCTCTTTTGAACTAGCTCTCGCTCATACAGTTGTCACAAGCTGTTTCACAGGCTAAATAAAGCAGACTTCTCTTACAACAAACTACCACATGTCTCCAAATGACAGCCGACGAGGGTTACTGCCATTCCATGTTTATTCACAATACCCCATTAGCGACAAGAATCAATCTTACAGCCTAACACTTATGCCATTCAGACAGGGTCCACTTGCTTGCACTTTGGGGATATCGCCACCCCACGGTCGACGCTGACATACAAACAGCTGGCACAATCAACAGTCAGTAGGTCAATTCTATTGTCCTCACTTATACTTCAACATAGTTTTGTAACAACCACTTCTCATCTTTCACTAAGTGTCATCTAGTATCAGCATTCAATTTGTTTTACTCTGGATCCACTTTCACTCCAATCTCTCTGGGGTCCTGTCACAGAATGACTTCCCAGTCAGCTATTCCCCCCAGACCTCTTGTTTCCAGATGAGCTCAAAAATCTGATTTTTGCCATTCTCACGTCTACTTCGTGTCTCTCAAACTAGAGACTTCCCCAATTCTGTTGACCAGTCAAACCCCTTATGTTAAAACTATTTTTAGTATCACAACAATGATGATAATAATGAGGATGATAATGGGATTGATGATGATGGTGATGATGATAATGACGACAGTGGTGATGATAATAACGGCGATGATAATGATAATAGAGATGATGATGATAATAATGGTGATGATAATGATAATAGAGATGATGATGATAATAGTGATGCTAATAATAATGATGGTGATTATCATGATGGTGAATGAAAATGGTGATAATGGTGATGATGATGGTAGTGGTGATGATGATGATGATAATAATGGTGATGATGACAATGATGAAACTGATTGTGTTGATAATGATGGAATCGATGACCAAGATGTATAACTGTTGTTCTGATAGATGTATTAATTAGGAAAAGACAAACATGTTCACAGACGTCACCTCCAAGTAATCGAAGCTACAGTTGGGGTGCTGCTCCAGGCCCAGGGCAGCAAAGGAGAAGAGGATATTTTTCCCAGGAGAGACAGCAACAGTCCAGCCACAGTCTCGGTTGTGTGGATAGTTGCCGGGGTATCCAGGGCTGTTGATGGCACCATGATCAGAGCCATTCAGATAGCCACCGCAAGCTGGGATCAGAAATATGTGTGAAACAATACAGTAATGCTTTCAGTTAGAGCCAGAAATATATGTGAAACAATACAGTAATGCTCTCAGTTAGAGCCAGAGAAATATGTGTGAAACAATACAGTAATGCTTTCAGTTAGAGCCAGAGAAATATGTGTGAAACAATACAGTAATGCTTTCAGTTAGAGCCAGAGAAATATGTGTGAAACAATACAGTAATGCTTTAAGTTAAAGCCAGAGAAATATGTGTGAAACAATACAGTAATGCTTTCAGTTAGAGCCAGAGAAATATGTGTGAAACAATACAGTAATGCTTTCAGTTAGAGTCAGATAAATATGTGTGAAACAATACAGTAATGCTTTCAGTTAGAGCCAGAGAAATATGTGTGAAACAATACAGTAATGCTTTCAGTTAGAGCCAGAGAAATATGTGTGAAACAATACAGTAATGCTTTCAGTTAGAGCCAGAGAAATATGTGAATAAATACAGTAATGCTCTCAGTTAGAGCCAGAGAAATGTGTGAAACAATACAGTAATGCTCTCAGGTAGAGCCAGAGAAATGTGTGAAACAATACAGTAATGCTCTCAGGTAGAGCCAGAGAAATGTGTGAAACAATGCAGTTATGCTCTCAGTTAGAGCCAGAGAAATGTGTGAAACAATACAGTAATGCTCTCAGTTAGAGCCAGAGAAATGTGTGAAACAATACAGTAATGCTCTCAGTTAGAGCCAGAGAAATGTGTGAAACAATACAGTTATGCTCTCAGTTAGAGCCAGAGAAATGTGTGAATAAATACAGTTATGCTCTCAGTTAGAGCCAGAGAAATGTGTGAATAAATACAGTTATGCTCTCAGTTAGAGCCAGAGAAATGTGTGAATAAATACAGTAATGCTCTCAGGTAGAGCCAGAGAAATGTGTGAAACAATACAGTAATGCTCTCAGTTAGAGCCAGAGAAATATGTGAAACAATACAGTAATGCTCTCAGTTTGAGCCAAAAAATAAATGTGTGAAACAATACAGTAATGCTCTCAGTTAGAGCCAGAGAAATGTGTGAAACAATACAGTAATGCTCTCAGTTAGAGCCAGAGAAATATGTGAAACAATACAGTAATGCTCTCAGAGCCAGAGAAATGTGTGAAATAATACAGTAATGCTCTCAGTTAGAGCCAGAGAAATGTGTGAAATAATACAGTAATGCTCTCAGAGCCAGAGAAAAATGTGTGAAACAATACAGTAATGCTCTCAGTTAGAGCCAGATAAATGTGTGAAACAATACAGTAAGGCCCTGAGTTAGAGTCAGTAAATAAAAAAGCAATGTTAACAAGATATTTGTCGAATATTTTTATAGCCAGAGAAATGTGTGGAAACAATACAATGCTCTCAGTGAGCCAGAGTAAAGGGTGAATAAATACAGGTGCTCTCATAGAGCCAGAGAAATGTGTGCATAAATTCAGAATGCTCTCAGGTAGAGCCCAAATGTCAGTGAAAAAATACAGGCATGCTCTCAGGTAGAGCCAGAGAAATGTGTGCTACTAGAATCATCAGAACTGGAACTCTTTGCTTGCTGCTGAAGATGGGGATTGAGCACTTATGGGAATAATGCTCTCAGGTAGTGCATTGTGAGCCAGAGAAATGTTAGTCATCATTTGCTCTTTAGAGCCAGAGAAATGTTTGAAACAATACAGTAATGCTCTCAGTTAGAGCCAGAGAAATGTGTGAACAATGCAGTTATGGTCTTTGTAGAGCCAGAGAAATCTTGTGCTTACAGTTATGCTCTTAGAGCCAGAGAAATGTGTGAAACACTTTTTGCATGTTTCATCTACACCAGAAATCTGTCTCTTTCTTGGTCTTCCTCTCAGTTAGAGCCCAGAAATGTGTGAATGTACAAATGCTCTCAGTTAGATGCAGAGAAATGTGTGAATAAATACAGTAATCTCTCAGATAGAGCCAGAGAAATGTGTGAATAAATTCAGTAATCTTTGTAGAGCCAGAGAAATGTGTGAATAAATACAGACATGCTCTCAGGTAGAGCCAGAGAAATGTGTGAAACAATACAGTAATGCTCTCAGTTAGAGCCAGAGAAATGTGTGAAACAATACTAATGTTCAGTTAGAGACCAGAGAACATGTAGATACAATACAGTTATGCTCTCAGTTAGAGCTATTCATTGTCCATGAAATTGTGGCAATACAGATAATGCATAAAGTTAGAGCCAGAGAAATGTGTGAAACAATACAGTTTTGCTCTCGTAGAGCCAGAGAAATGTGTGTCTAATACAGTAATGCTTTCAGGTAGAGCCAGAGAAATGTGTGAATAAATTGTAGATGCTCTGGCTTTTTGCTCTCAGAGAAATGTGTGTGACAATGTAATGCTGTCAGTTAGAGTTTAGAAATATGTGAAACAATACAGTAATGCTTTCAGTTAGAGCCAGAGAAATATGTGAAACAATACAGTGTAATGCTCTCAGTTAGAGCCAGAGAAAATATGTGAAACAATACAGTAATGCTCTCAGTTAGAAAGAGAGATATCCAATGAAATGTCATGAGAAACATGTGTGAAACAATATAATGCTCTCAGTTAGAGCCAGAGAAATGTGTGAAACAATACAGTAATGCTCTCAGTTAGAGCCAGAGAAATATGTGAAACAATACAGTAATGCTCTCAGTTAGAGCCAGAGAAATATGTGAAACAATACAGTAATGCTCTCAGTTAGAGCCAGAGAAATGTGTGAAACAAATACAGATAATGCTCTCAGTTAGAGCCAGAGTGGATGTGAAACAATACAGTAATGCTCTCAGTTTAGATGTGTGAACAATACAGTAATGCTCTCAGTTAGAGCCAGAGAAATGTGTGAAACAATACAGTAATGCTCTCAGTTAGAGCCAGAGAAATGTGTGAAACAATACAGTAATGCTCTCAGTTAGAGAAAGAGAAATGTGTGAAACAATACAGTAATGCTCTCAGTTAGAGCCAGAGAAATATGTGTGAAACAATACAGTAATGCTCTTAGTTAGAGCCAGAGAAATATGTGTGAAACAATACAGTAATGCTCTTAGTTAGAGCCAGAGAAATATGTGTGAAACAATACAGTAATGCTCTCAGTTAGAGCCAGAAGAATATGTGAAACAATACAGTAATGCTCTCAGTTAGAGCCAGAAGAATATGTGAAACAATACAGTAATGCTCTCAGTTAGAGCCAGAGAAATGTGTGAAACAATACAGTAATGCTCTCAGTTAGAGCCAGAGAAATGTGTGAAACAATACAGTAAGTTCAGTTAGAGCCAGAGAAATGTGTGAAACAATACAGTAATGCTCTCAGTTAGAGCCAGAGAAATGTGTGAAACAATACAGTAATGCTCTCAGTTAGAGCCAGAGAAATGTGTGAAACAATACAGTAATGCTCTCAGTTAGAGCCAGAGAAATGTGTGAAACAATACAGTAATGCTCTCAGTTAGAGCCAGAGACAAATGTGTGAAACAATACAGTAATGCTCTCAGTTAGAGCCAGAGAAATGTGTGAAACAATACAGTAATGCTCTCAGTTAGAGCCAGAGAAATGTGTGAAACAATACAGTAATGCTTTCAGTTAGAGCCAGAGAAATGTGTGAAACAATACAGTAATGCTCTCAGTTAGAGCCCAGAGAAATGTGTGAAACAATACAGTAAATCAGTTAGAGCCAGAGAAATGTGTGAAACAATACAGTAATGCTCTCAGTTAGAGCCAGAGAAATGTGTGAAACAATACAGTAATGCTCTCAGTTAGAGCCAGAGAAATGTGAAATGAAACAATACAGTAATGCTCTCAGTTAGAGCCAGAGAAAATGTGTGAAACAATACAGTAATGCTCTCAGTTAGAGCCAGAGAAATATGTGAAAAACAATACAGTAAATGCTCTCAGTTAGAGCCAGAGAAACTGTACTACAGATGCTCTCAAGAGCCAAAGAAAGATGAAACAAATACAGGTAAAGCTCTCAGTTAGCCTGAAATGTGTGAAAACAAGACAGTAATCAGATCTCAAACACAGAGCCAGAGAAGTGGATGTCCAAAACAATACAGTAAATGCACTCAGTTAGAGCCAGAGAAATGTGAAACAATACAGTAATGCTCTCAGTTAGAGCCAGAGAAATGTGTAAAGACAATACAGTAATGCTCTCAGTTAGAGACAGAGATCAGATAACAATACAGTAATGCTCTCAGTTAGAGTCCAGAGAAAAATGAAACAATACAGTTTATGCTCTCAGTTAGAGCCAGACTTAAATGGATGAAACAATACAGTAATGCTCTCAGATAACAACCCAATGGGTGAAAAAAGACAGTTACTGGATGTCCAGAAGAGAAATTTGGGAAATATACAGTAATGCTCTCAGAAACAGACTTAGTGGATGTCCAAAGACAAATCAGATAACAACCACAGGTAGAAGACTTAATATGATGAAACAAAGACAAATCAGAGAGCCAGAGAAATACATGTGAAACAGACTTAGTGGATGCTCTCAGTTAGACAAAGATAAATGTGTGTGAAACCACACAGTAATGCTCTCAGTTAGAGCCAAAGAAATGTGTGTCAGATAATACAGTAAACACAGTAAAGCCAGAGACTTTGTGGATGTCAGTAAGCACTCAGTTAGAGTCAGATAACAAAACATGTGAAACAGACTTAGTGGATGTCCAAAGATTTTCATATCTCTTGGACATCAATGCCAGTGAAGAGTAAAGGGTGTAGGGTTATATTTTGAAGATTGGCATATTTCAGATCTGGCCAACACCCAGCACTCAGAGGAAAAGCAAGGCAGACATATGATAAAACTGCTACTAGAATCATCAGAACTGGAACTCTTTGCTTGCTGCTGAAGATGGGGATTGAGCACTTATGGGAATATCCTAAGTGCTTTGTTGTTAGTCCTCATTTTGGTTCTTTCTTCTTCTTTTGACGTGTGACTGTTACCAGGTTTTAACCCTGCATCATGGTTTTGTGTATTTGTCTTGCGCTTCTCGGGTGTCTTGAGTGATGGATTTGTTCCACTTGTTACATGTTTCATCTACACCATTTATCTATCTCTTTCTTGGTCTTCCTCTCGCCTTCCTCCCAGATGTTCTACTGTAAAAACTCTCAAATGCAGTCTCATCTGGCTGCATTCTCACTAGATGGCCAAACCATTTCCTTCTTTGTAAATATAATCCAGACATGGTCTCATCCCTACTTTGTCTCTAATGCTGGTGTTTATAGCCCTGTCTCATCTAGTGTTCTTAGTGTCCTTGCGGAGACAGCACATTTCACATGTAGTTATTTTCTGTTCTAGCGTTCTATTCATTGTCCCTGTTTGGCACTGATAACATAAAGTAGGGATAAAGATGTCATTATTCATTTGCTTTTTTTCTCGAAGGAAGATATTTGGGTGTCTAAGCAGTGGGGCTAACTGGTAGGTGACAGCCTTTTGCCCTTTGTACTCTGGCTTTTGTCTTTTGTGTGTGTGTGTGTGTATGTCTGTGTGTGTGTTATTCTCATGCCATACCTTGTGCTCGCTTTATGTAAGGAGTCAGTATAGTGTTGTAAATTCTGTTCAGCTCGGTTATGATATAGAAACATAATTGGTTAGTGAGATATCCAATGAAACGTCAAATAACAACACAGAAATATATACTGTTGGGGAAATGTCCAATCAGCAGTCAGATATCAACCACAGAAACAGACTTATTGGATGTCCAATGACAAATCAGATAACAACCACAGAAACAGACTTAGTGGATGTCCAATGACAAATCAGATAACAACCACAGAAACAGACTTAGTGGATGTCCAATGACAAATCAGATAACAACCACAGAAACAGACTTAGTGGATGTCCAAAGACAAATCAGATAACAACCACAGAAACAGACTTAGTGGATGTCCAAAGACAAATCAGAATACAACCACAGAAACAGACTTAGTGGATGTCCGAAGACAAATCAGATAACAACCACAGAAACAGACTTAGTGGATGTCCAAAGACAAATCAGATAACAAACACAGAAACAGACTTAGTGGATGTCCAAAGACAAATCAGATAACAACCACAGAAACAGACTTAGTGGATGTCCAAAGACAAATCAGATAACAACCACAGAAACAGACTTAGTGGATGTCCAAAGACAAATCAGATAACAACCACAGAAACAGTGGATGTCCAAAGACAAATCAGAAAACAACCACAGAAACAGGCTTAGTGGATGTCCAAAGACAAATCAGAATACAACCACAGAAACAGACTTAGTGGATGTCCGAAGACAAATCAGATAACAACCACAGAAACAGACTTAGTGGATGTCCGAAGACAAATCAGATAACAACCACAGAAACAGACTTAGTGGATGTCCAAAGACAAATCAGAATACAACCACAGAAACAGACTTAGTGGATGTCCGAAGACAAATCAGATAACAACCACAGAAACAGACTTAGTGGATGTCCAAAGACAAATCAGAATACAACCACAGAAACAGACTTAGTGGATGTCCGAAGACAAATCAGATAACAACCACAGAAACAGACTTAGTGGATGTCCAAAGACAAATCAGATAACAACCACAGAAACAGACTTAGTGGATGTCCAAAGACAAATCAGAATACAACCACAGAAACAGACTTAGTGGATGTCCAAAGACAAATCAGATAACAACCACAGAAACAGACTTAGTAGATGTCCAAAGACAAATCAGATAACAACCACAGAAACAGACTTAGTGGATGTCCAAAGACAAATCAGAAAACAACCACAGAAACATACATGGTTGGTTAAATGTTTAATCTTTTTTCTTCTTTGCATTCACCGGTGTAAACTCTGGCAGAAAGTTTTCTGTTTGTTCATTTACCTATGGACTTCATTCTTGATCAAGTACCTGAAAATTGCATGCACCATTTTACAGAGCTGGCTTATTTGCATGTAGACTATCTGTTCCTTGCCCCTCAGGAAGATGCACTTCAACTTTGAAGAAAGCCCCCAATTAGTCTTCTCTTACAACATCCTTGTTGGGGAGGCAGTGGGTCTATTTTTGGTTTTCCCCACAAAGAGACCCTGGAAACCACATGGGAAGATGTTGAATCAACAGTCAGATAACAACACATAAACATAACTGGTGATGAGATGTCCAATGAACAATCAGATAACACTACACAAATGAAAAGTGCTGATGGGATGTCCAATGAACAATCAGATAACAACACATAAACATAACTGGTTATGAGATGACCAATGAGCAGTCAGATTAAAAAAATACAAATGTACTTGATGGGTAAAATGGCCAATGAAATATCAGATAACACAGAAACATACTTGGTGGGTGAGATGTCCAGTGAACTTCAAATCCATTGTGGGCTATGGATGCATCAGACTTGAACCAGAAATACAACTGGTTGTGGGTACTATTGAGAGAACCCCCATTGGGTGGGTTAGTGCCACAGTATTTGCCGATCATGTGTGCTGATGGAGAGCTTCCATCATGTATTTGCAGGAAGTCAAAGTTGCACTCTGGGTGGTATTCCAAAGAGAAAACTGGGAACGTTGCTGTGATAATCTGAAACAGTGTCCATGGAAATTGATTTCGTTTGTGGTATTATTATTATTGTAAAGGCATGCTGAGCATGATGAAGAGGGAGACATGCTGCATGCAGCGTGGCAAGCATCACTTCAGAGGTCTGGTCCAAAAGAATGCTTCAGAATAATTTCTTTTATTAAACTGCCATTGATACATCAAAGTAAAAAAAAAAATTTAAAAAAAATCTTGTGATTTTACTTTATGTAATAATTGACAATAACAGTTAAATTACATCCGCCATATTAAATCTTCTAGAAACAAAACCAAAACTGCAAGGTCACTAACACAACAAGAACAGACAAGAGTGTTCAATGTCTGCATTAAAGAGAAGCCAAAATAAGACCATGTCTGGATTATGTTGACAGACAAATAATGAAATGTTTGGCCATCTAGTGAAAAAGGGCCAGGTCAAACTGCAGATTAGACTTTTTACTACAGAAAATCTGGGAGGAAGGCGAGAGGAAGATCAAGGACGAGATGGATACATTTTGTAGCAGAAACCTGCAAAAAAGATGAAAAAAATCCACCACCAAAGCATCCTGAAAAGTGAAAGACAAATATAGAAAACTACAACACTGGCCTACAACCTGGTATTAATGAGATGACAAAGCCATGACAATGGCCTACAACCTGGTATCAATGAGATGACAAAACCATGACAATGGCCTACAACCTGGTATCAATGAGATGACAAAACCATGACACTGGCCTACAACCTGGTATCAATGAGACGACAAAAGAAGAAGAAGAAAAACTAAAACAAGTCACCTCCATCTTCTAAGTGGTTTCTTCCTTGAATTACCATATGCTAATCCTCTGTCTTGGCTCATTTGCACATTTGTATCCTATGCTATTTATAGGTTCTATGCCCTCTTCATGTTCCTTCTATAGCTTGACCCCTAACTCTTAAAATAAGGTCATGACAGTCTGTTGTTTTTGTGTGTTATATTCCACATCTAGGCATTGGTTGGGAGTTTTACTGTGCAGATGTTACAGCAAGTAGGCAACATATTCAGCCCAGCTCTCAGTGATATAGTATATAGCAAGATTAACTCAACTTTCAGTAAATACAGTAAAAAGTACAAATTGTATTTAACTTGATTGATGTGATTCAATAAATAAGTATAAAGCTGAATTCAGTTCTCAGTATTACAGTAATCTTGGCCATTGCTGGTCCAAGGCCAGGCTGAGAAAGGAGGAGGGTTGGACATGGGGCCAGATCCTCTACCCTGTAAAAGTTCTTTTGCTACAGAAACTTGCAGAAAATGGATGCCTTTCCAGAAACAGAATTAAGGAATAGACTGTGAGCCTTATGTGACCCATAATGGCACAACAGGACAATTAATAAATGTTACTGTAGGTAGATGACAAATTTAACTAAAACTCTCAGCTCTCAGCAATACAATATTTAGGCAACAAGTTAATCTAAACCTTCGGTGATACAATAAGTGGGAAGAAAGTTCAACTAAACTCTTATTTACAACAAATTTGCAACAAGATTCGCTCAGTTCTCAGTGATGAAATAATTAGACAGAATGATTAGCTCAACTCTCAGCTCTACCATATATAAACACACAGTCTAAGAGACTTACCTTATCTAGACTGGTTGTTATGACCCAAGCACAACTCCTTCTATGAGGGTAAGTAACTCCTTCTGTTCTTGGATACCGGAAAGAACCAGACTGTCCACGCAGAAAGCCTCCACATTCTATGGGAAGAAGAAGGTCATTCAGTGAAACAATCCCTAAATGATCAATTAAGTATATGATTTTTAAAAATGGCTCAAACAATGTATGATTCAACAATCAATCAATCAACCAAACAAATAATCAATTAAATATTCAACTAACAATGAAACAGCAGTTCAGTCAAATAAGCAGTCAGTGGCCCATTCAAATAATGAATCAACCAAACATTTTTTTAACAAAAAAATGTATCATTCAAAAAACCACTGAAACAATCAATCAATCAGTCAGCAATTAAAAAATAATAATTATTCACCAAAACAATTAATAAGCTAAAAAAAATTAATCAGTTAAACAGCCATTCAAACAAGCAATTAATAAGTCAACAATTAATCATTAATTTGCCAGTAATGAATCCTTTCAACATCTTTACTTCCTCTGCTATTTTGAGTGAATAATAATACTAAGGGAAATATTGTGGGAACGACACCTTGTACTAGATTCATGAGAAACAACAGATTGAGTAGTTTTACCATCTTGTCAGAAAGCAGTCAGATCAAATACTGTCACAGGCACTATGTCTCAGAAGATCAGCAACCAGAGCAAGAGGACAGTAAGAAGATTATGGATTGACAACTTTTAAAAACACTTTGTGACATGACAACAGCCTGCGCCAGCCAGCGTGCACTGGATGGCAAATTGTTCTTCCCCATGATGCTTAATGGCAAAATGGTTGATGACGATGATAATGCAGATTTGAACCAAGAAGTTCAAACCAGCTGGTGAGTGTCTAGCCACTACACCAAAACAGCATCCTCAAAAATTAATTGATTAAACACAACAATAAGGGGGAGCACAAAGGAGGGGGTGGAGGAGGGATGGACCAGATGTGCATAGATACAAATGAACATTATGGCTGAAATCTGTCTCAAAATTGTGGTCAATTTCTTTATTAACATTGTGGCCAAAGTCTTTATCAACAACTAAATCTACAAGAAAAACGAATGTTCAGCCATAGCGTCAAACAGTGGAGTTAGGTAGAGAAAAAAAAAACATGGAACCCGTAGAATAGATATACTGAACTGAGTTGAGAACTGTCATAAAAGAAATTCCCAAATGCGCTCCATCCTCATCTTCAGCAGCCTGTGAAGAGTTATAATTTTTTTGGTACCAGTAACAGTTTTATTATTTGTCCGTCTTGCCTTTCCTTTGAATGTAGAGTACCATCCAGATGCTCTGGTCCCTCGCAACTGTACTATTCTTCCCACTCTTTAATGATCTCATTGTGCTTCCGCCTTTTTCCCTTGCTTCCATATTGTCTTGACAACATCACCGAGATATGACCTAGTACTGCATGGAAAGACCCTTGAACATGTCTATAACTCTTACCCAAAACCTGAATGGACACATGTACACACCAATGATTCATTGGAGGGAGCAGAAAAAAACGGAGGAGCTAGATTGGTTATCATGCTACAAGATGGCAGTAAAATAGAAAGGTCATGTGCCTCCAGAAGACCCTCAACAAACTTCAGAGCAGCAAGCAGTTATTGATTCAGCCAAAGTGCGTGAGGGAAAAAAATTAAACACAGCAAAATTGTGTTCTTTTGTGACTGCATGTCAGTCCTCCAGGCGACTCAGAGGGATCCATGAGACAACATGGAGAGAGAACTGACACGTCAGCTAAACAAGACTCAGAAAACAATCATATCATTCTCCAGTGGATCCCAGCTCACTGCAGCATACCAGGAAATGAGTTAATAGACAGACTTGCAAAAAATGGAATAAAGGAGAAACAAGACACCCATTCATTGTCATAACCAGAAATCAGAACACTCATCAAGGAAAAATACAAGGAATTGTGGAGAAAACAAACCAACAGTAAACATCCACAAGACCCCATCAACAGACTCAAGAGAAAGCAACATACACCAATTTTCCATCTATGAACAAGACACTGCAGGCTCAACTACCACATGCATAAAATAAAGACTGCCCAACAGTGTGCCTGTCAGACAGGACTACAAACACCTGAGTTGGGTTGAGTCAAAATTGATATCACAGCACTCGGTGCATTCCCATGCATGCTTTATCCTCATCTTTAGCAGCCAGCGCAGAGTTCAAATACTGATGGTACTGGTCACAATCTGGTTATATGTCCGTCTTGCCTTTCCTCTGAGTGCAGTGATCTGGCCAGACCCTCTGGTTACACCCAGATAGTATGTTACAATCATGACACGAGTGTGCAGCTGGGTCTTAAGCCAGCAGAAAGCTTCTGTGACTCCCTCCATCTTTATTTACATACTAGATGTTGTGATATCATATCCTAGCCTTTGTGGCAGTGAAAGATAAAATCTAAATATGCAAATTTAAAACAGGAAGAGACAAAACATAAACGAAGTAAAAAGGGGGAAAAAGGATAAAAAATAATAGCTAACCGAGCTGTGCATTCTGGCAATTAGCCCCTGTAAAATCTGCAGTACATTGACAACTGTAGCCAGGTGCTTGAGTTTGGGAGATGCATGTTCCACCATTCTGGCAGGGGTTGCTCAAACAGGCATCGACAGTAGTGGAGCATGTGGGGCCTGAAAAACCTGGACGGCATGTGCAGGAAAAACCTGTACTTCCCACAGGCTGTGGATTAACAAACAAATAAAAGCTCTGTCAAAGTCAACCATTTTGATATGATATATACTGAATCTTTCATTCTTTCTGTCTTTTCATCTTATTTCTTTTCTGCAGTTTCGTTCTAAAATTCCCTCCTTTTTCCTTTCTCTATTCCCTCCTACATATCCTCTATGATATATCCTTTCTTCCTTCCTAGTATGTTTGCTTACTCCTCTTTTTGTTCTAGAATGTTTTTCCTCTTCACATTTCTCTCTTCCTTTCCTACTTATAATCTTCATTTGCACCTCTTTTCTTTCTACTTTCCATGTTCATTATTACTCCCATCCCTCTTCTTTTTCTCTACTTCAGTCATTTTATTATTCTAAAATGAAGATGACTGTAGGGATGATGCAGCAGCAGCAGCAGCAGCAGCAGCAGCAGCAGCAGCAGCAGCAGTAGTAGTAGTAGTAGTAGTAGTAGTAGTAGTAGTAGTAGTAGTAGTAAAGACAGTAGGAGTAGTAGTAAAATCAGAAGTAGTTGGAAGAGTAGTAGTAGGAGGAGGAGGAAGAGGAAATGTAGTAGTAGGAGGAGGAGTAGTAGTAGGAGGAGGAGGAGTAGTAGTAAAATCAGCAGTAGTAGGGGTAGTAGTAGACTTGAGACTTATGATAGTAGTAGTGGTGGTGATAATAGTAATAGTAACAGGTTTAGTAGTTGAAGAGTACTAGTCATAAAATTAATAGTAGTAATAGTAAAAGGATGAAGAATATTGAAATAGTTGTAGGAGGAGGAGGATTAGAAATAGTAGAAGGAACTGTTTACTGCCCTCACTGTCCCAGATTCTTCCCAGCCCAATATTGGGCTTATAAGTCACCTCCAGACTTACAGAACTCTATAGGATGGATTAAAGAAAGAATGGTTCTCATGCTGTGAAGCATGAACAACAAAAACAACAAAAGTAGTCCAAGGAGGAGGAGGTGGAATAGTAGTAGTAGTAGACTTGTGGTGGTAGTAGTAGTGGTGGTGGTAGTAGTAGTAACAGGATTGGTAGTAGTAGGGTAGTTGTAAAATTCATCCTCTCAAAGTCCATGCTGTGTGGTGTTAATAGTCATGTCTTTCCACAACCGTCTGTTTTTCGTGTAATTTCAGTCAACTCTGACACAGAGGATCTTCCATACCATGATGTCAGACTGTCCAGCATCTGTTCTCTCAGACCCTCTGCCTCTCCTCCCATCCAACTTTCCTACTGTCACAATGTATTCCAGTGTTCTCCTTCTCATCACATGTCTATAGAATTTAGATTGTCTCTTTTCGACATGGGCAATCAGTTCTTGTCATGAGTCAGTTTCCTTTAAGACGTCTTCGTACTTTTTTTTATTTTAATCTGTTCAGTTTATTTTCATCATTTGTCTATAAAACCACATCTCCTCAGCTTCCAAATAAGTTTTCACTAATTTAATAACTGTCCATGATTCATACCCGTATATCAATATAGGATTTATACAGCTTTTAAGAATTCCCTTCCTCATCTCAACTGACAAAGAAAAATTGCATAAAATATTCTTCATTTTGTAAAAAGCTGCCTTTGCTTGAGCTGTTTGACATTTAACTTCCTGAATACATCTTCCATCTGATGTTATCAGGGTACCCAAATACTTCAACAGATCAACTTGCTTGAGGTTTGTAGTAGTAAAATTAGCAGTAGTAATAGTAGAAGGAAGAGGAGTAGTAATTGTATGGTCATGGTAGTACGGACAACGTTGCGGCCATGATGAGATGTAACTTACTGCACACACAGCCCCATTCTGACATGGGTTTGATGCGCACCCACCAGCTACAGATTGTTGCTGGCACCCATAAGCACCCACTCCTGACCCAACATAGCCACTGGGACATATACAGACTGGACCTAACCCACCTGAAAGCAGTTGGACCAAAAGTGTAAGTCGCACATTTATAAGTTAGTGTAGATGTTACAAGTCATATATTCTTTTATCAAATACAATGAGTTAGTGAGTTGACAGATCACTGACACTGCTCATCGATGCCGTCTGCCTATAAGTTTTCGGATCCTCTCCTGCATGAAAGCCGACAGCATGAAGCTGCTGATGACCTAATTTTGTGCTGACTTCTTGCATAGTGCTCACCACATTTAACATCCAGTTTTTTGTGGTTTTGCCATGGTTGCCCATTGACAGCCATCACTTGATTCACTCCAGTGTATTTCACACAGAATATTTAGTATGTCAACCTAGCTTACTGCTCCCACCTACCACAGTAGGCCTGTCCACAAACTATCAGCTTTTGCAATTTCTTTTTACACTTGCATGCCCCCCCTACTCCTCCCCCCACTCCTTCCCCCCTCCACTCCTCCCCCCCCCCCCCCTTCCACTTCCCTAAACAATTGCACTGTTTCCACAACAAAGGTTGGCTGCATTGTATTCATTGTGAACATTGGAAATAATATATGATGAGACTCCGGTCTCTTCCATTTTGTGGCTCTCGTATCACTGAATGTAATGAGAACTTGGTTTTTTTTCTTTACTGCCCACAATTCAAATCAAACCCTGCACAAAACTGAACTGAAAAATTAAATGAAAACAAACATTAGACTGGCTAATACCTAATTAAATAATAATAGTTTCTGCATACATATAAAATTATGGTTTTAATTTGTGAAAATCTAGCAGAAATGCGATGGATAGTAGGAAGCAAATCTTGGGCAATCAGTAGAGGGAGTGAAAAACTGTAGCACAGAGATCTGACTGTACAGAAGAAAGAAGAAAATAACCTGGGCTGAAAAATTTCATAAAAGTGTCTTGAGAGAAGAACACACAAGGAAAATGTGTTATTTATTTCAAAAGAAGACAGCCTACAATTCCTTTATTCTTTATTCCATAATGGGAAATGGAAAACTGGATGAGAGAGATAGGAGTAGAGAGGCAGGAGGATTGAGACAGGAGGTTGGAGGCACAAAAAGACCAGGGGGAAGGCTAGTTAACTATCACAGCAAGGTACATCACAGACATTTTACTTCGAATATATTGCTCACTTTTTATTTTATTTGCTGTTGTTAATGTCCATAGTTGGCACTGACAACACAAGGTTGGTTAAAAAATCTGATTTGAATTCTGCTCTTTTGGTTTCAATTTTATACATTTGTCTGCAAAATTTATGACATCATTTGATTTGCTTTATTACATCTTGGTTCCATCTCTGCTTCCATTTGTTCATTGGAGAATAATATGCTCCCTAGATACTTGAAGTCCTTTCTTTGCTTTAGTTGTCGGCTTCTACTCATATCTTGATTGGTTGTTCTGTTCTTGCAGTGGTCACAACTTCTGGCTATCCTCCGAAATTCGGGCACTAAAGATGGCAGCAGCAAAATATCATTTCGAGCCACAGTCACGTGTCATGCGCACTTCCGGCGACTTAATTTGCGGTTCTCCTGAGGTTTTCCAGTGACTACCCCACCACAAGATCCCGAATGCTGCTCACCCGGTGTGGATTGGGGCTAAACTAGATGGCCAGGACCCATGAGCAGCAGCTTCCACATCTCCTGAAGCTTTGCTCATGAGTCCTAGCCATCTAGTTTAGCCCCAATCCACGCCACATGAGCAGTGTGGGGGACTCGTGGCGGTGGCGGTAGTCGCCGGAAAACCGCCCGAGAACCGCAAATTAAGTCAGGTGACTGTGGCTCTAAAGGATATTTTGCGGCCGCCATCTTTTAGTGCCCGCAGTTCTGAGGATAGCCCAACTTATGTTTTCCTCCACTTGTCAGTGTATCATAAATTACTGGCATTAAATGAGGCAATAGATACAGACACACACAATGATCAATGATATATAGCATGGACTTTAGGAAGGAGAACAACAGAAAGGTCAGAAACTGTGTAAAAGGTATTATGACAGTGATATGGTGGTAGTAGTGATGATTTTTGTGGTGGCAGTGATAATGATGATGATGACAGTGATGGTAGTGGCAATGATCATGATTACACTCACCTGTCTCAGAACAGGTAGCGAGAGGATGACAGCCACCATTATTGACTGAGCAAAATCCAACATAAGTACAGCTGATCCCATTACCTTGGTAACCTGCAAGCATAAAAATGTTATGCTCAAAGGTCACTTCCTGTGCCTGACACAGTGACATCACTTCCTGTGTTTTACATGATGACACAACTTCCTGTGCGTGACACAATGATATCACTTCCTGTGTTTGACTTAATGACAATTTTGCTTTTTTCACTTATTAAAATGCTGCTTTTGATCATTAAAGTGTTAAAAACAGACATGAAAGCACTCAAAACGTTTTAATAGCTATTCTGTCTTCATCTTTATTGTCTAGTGCAGAATTCCAGTACCAGTGGTGTCAATACTTGTCTGATTAAGCCTTGCCTTTTTTTCTGATATATTGCGTAGACCATGGTGATCTGTTGCGTAATTTTTCATATGGTCATTACAGGAATTTACCATGTGTGCTTTTAAAACTCTTCTTTGAAGCAGAAATGGAACAACAAGCTTACTGCCTACTTCATATACTTACTTCAGGGCTATTCAACTGGTGGCCCACAGACAAAATCTGGCTAATGAGGCCTGGCCATTAATCATTACCAATTGTATTGTATTACTGAGCTTTCTGCATTAGAGCTCAGCCTTATTGCCTGTGATGGTCCCCATTTTCAAATGTAGGCCCCTGAGTAAACTTAGTTGAAATAACCCCTCTCTGTAGCAAGATGTCAGAAATGTTAATTGTGAGGCAAATAAAAGGACATGAGAGATCAAGCATTTATTGACATTCACAAAAACAGAGGAAATGAGTGCAGATTAAAGGCCACACTAAGCTTTAATACTGAAATCCACTCTGAAACCACCATGTTAGATTATCTAGGATCATTTATTTTGACTTGTCTTTCTTTCTTCTATCATTTAACTATTCAGTCTTCACATTTTGTATCTAATGCTTCTCTTCTCAACACTGTTTGTATATATAGTTCTATTTGTATAAGCTTTTGTTCTTGATTTCTTTAGAGCTGCCAACATTACTATTAACATTTCCCTCATTATTAGCATTTCCCTCATTATTAACATTTCCCTCATTATTAGCATTTCCCTCATTATTAACATTTCCCTCATTATTAGCATTTCCCTCATTATTAGCATTTCCCTCATTATTAACATTTCCCTCATTATTAGCATTTCCCTCATTATTAACATTTCCCTCATTATTAACATTTCCCTCATTATTAACATTTCCCTCATAAATCACGTCTTATCTGCTTAGACTCTCTTCTTAATTCTTGTTCACTTACTACTATACAGCAGAACAGATTCAACATAATCTGGCTCTGAGTGAAAGTGTCTAATTACCTAAGACACACTTCCTTTTCTGAAGTGAAGCTTTTGTTTGTCCTCGCCTGCTCTTAAAGTCTGCAGGTGTTTTGGAAAATGAACAGGAAGGCAGATTGGTTGATGATGCATCAATGGGTGGTGAATTAATACATCACATGCAAGATGTGGTCAAGGCCCTTTGGAAGCAACTAAACAATGCTGAAGAGCAAATAGAGGATTATAGTGTGGTAAGAATGATGCAACATGGAGATACCAGGGATCTAGTCAACACGCTACACTCAGAGGAAAGGAAAAACAGACATATACTCAAACTGCTACTAGTGCCAATGGCATTGGAACTCTTTGCTTGCTGCTGAAGATGAGGGTGAAGTGAGTATGGGAATATCCAGAGTGCTGTGATGTTGGTTTTTATCTCAGCTTTTATCTCTGCCACCCCTCTTTCATCTGATGTTATGATTGCTCTCCAACTTTTTGATCACTGACTTACTTCACTAGTTTTCAAGCAGATGCACTCTGACTTTAAAATAAATCTCTAATTAGTTGACTCTTATGACATGCTTGTTAAAAAAGACCAGAGCCTATTCTATGTTCTCCACAATGGGTCCCCAGAATCCACATGGGTTTATTTTATTAAAACTTGGAACTCATATTTCTAACTTCTCTGTGATCTTTGCCATTATATTTTACCAACATACATATAATTACAACATTGTAAAATAGAAGAGTGGATGTACCGGCTGGACACGGCCCACAAGCACTTGATCCCCTGGTGTTGATGCAATCTACTCGAGGAGATGTGGAACAGCCACCATTGTTACTGGCACACTCATCGACGTCGAAACAGGTGTGGCCATTCCCCGTGTAACCTTAACAATGTGTGAAGAAAACAAAATACATTTCATAGTTTATTCTAAACACTACTTGTGCCCCCCCCCCCTTTTTTTCACACAAACACACACACATGCATGCACACACACATGTGCACTCACACACACATGCATGTATGCATGCACACACACACATTCATTCATTCATTCATTCAGTAGCATGTCCCTCGCGGAACCTCGCTGCCATAACAACCCTCCGGAAAATCTTCCTATCCTGAGCATGATGTCCTGCGTCTGATACACCCATCTGGAGATCATCTGCCACATCCTGCACCCATCTTCTCCTTGGCCTTCCTCTTCCTCTCTTCCCAGGCATATACCCCTCCATTATTGTTCTCTCCAGACTTCCATGACGTTTCAAGTGACCAAAATATTTCAATTTTCTTTGTTTATTTGTCTTTACTAGCCAACCCTCTTCAATATTCAGCTCTTGAAGTATGGATGCATTTGTCTCTTTTCTTTACCCAAGATATTCTTAGAACCTGTCTGTAACATTTATATTCAAATGCATTTATGCGCTGTTCCGCTTGTTTAGTAAGTGTCTAGTCTCACAGGCGTATGTTGCAATGGGAAAGATGCATGCTCTTAAAAATCTGACCTTTGTAAATTCTATCTGTACAATTCCATAATTTTATTTAGTTGTTTTAGTCTTTGAAGAGCAATTGATAGTCGCCGTTTAATTTCTTTCATTGTGTCACCATTGTTTGGTAAACCAGTGACCCAAGATATTCGAAAATTTTCCACCACTTCCAATCTTTCCTCATTAACATATATTTCCTTCTCCATGGCAGTTTTGTTTGTATGCATTATCTTTGTTTTTGCTATGTGTTAAGAAATAAGTTATGATTTTCACTATTTCTTTGGAGTGAGGTTAATAAGTTTTTTCTAAACCATTTTGTGATGTTGATAGTAATACTGTCTCATTAGCATAACGAATTTCTGGTATTTCATGACCACCGATGTTTAGGGCATCATATTTTCCTTGTTTATATCATCTCTTACATTTCTCATTATATTTTCGGCGTACAGGTTGAACAAATACGGTGACAGCACACATCCCTGACGGACTCCTTGCTTGATGCCAAACCAGTCTGATGGTCTCTCCATCTATTCTGACTGCTGCTTGTTGGTCTTGATAGAGCATTTTAATGAGCGGCACTATA